TAGTATGTGATGAAGGGATATGAAACGGATATTATGAAAAAAAATTCATAATTTTTTACCATTTAGTTTGGAAAATAGAGTCTTTTAAAAAATATAATTTTCGAATTTTATTGACATATGGAGGCGAGTGAAGGAGGCGGCCAGTCGAGTTGCGTTAGTCTGCATCTGTCTGAATTAATTTTTTTCTGCGTGTGCGGCCTATGGATAGGCACAACTAAATGTTTTTTCTCACTGGCGGCAATATCGCCACCGAGCGCGCGAAGAGACCTAACTTTTGGATGGTATTGTCGCGAGTGTACTTCCTTAAAGGCTCTAACAAAAATTACTATAACCCGACTCACAACTCATTGCTATTAATTTAAAGAACTTATCTCTCAAATTGTAAATTATATAAAATAAAAGATTAAAATTACTAAATATTTCTCAGGACTCTTAAAACTCTGGCTACACGTAACTTAAACGTATAAATATGCATCGTTATAAGCGTGTATATGCTAACTGAACTAAAATGATCAATCAAATTAAAATAAATTTTGGCCCAATTCGTTTTTGAGATGGCGAACAAATAGACATAAGCCGAACCGATACAATTACGATTAATTATAAGAAAATATGACCTTAAAATTATATATATTTAATCAAAAGATTATTAATGATGTAGTAATAATAATGAAAATAGTGATAGAAATATCAAGACTTTATATGTAATATGCAGCAGTTCAGAAGGTCTTATTTTCAATTGAAATGGAAAAATAATATTTGAAAAACAATACAAAGAGGAATGCAAAAAATGAATTTAAATTTGAAGATAAAAACAATAAGGCTAACAAGATAGAAACTATAAAGTCACATGTGAAAAAAATTAATTTTGGCATAATATAAAGAGCTAAACAATTTTTATTTCTTATGCTACGCAACTCATTGCCATTAATATAAAAAACCAGAAACTTATTTTTTGTCGTTAAAATAAAAAAGTTAGAAAAAAATAATATTGTTAAACTCTCAAAATTGAACTCTGGCTTTACGTGACTTAAATATAAGGTTTCTTTATTATGAGTATATATATATATATATATATATATATATAACAAAATTTAAAACAATTGTTAAATTAAAATAAATTCTGATTTGATTCCTCTTTGAGATGTAACTTAATAGATAATGATAACATAAGATCGGAACAATTAAACAAATTGTACCGGTTTCGGCTGTGTGATGAACAGATGTAAGTAGACGGAATTTCATTTCATCCAAATACTATTTTTGACATTAAATGAAACGAATGTTACTTCAATTCAAGACTTCGTCCTAAAGACATTTTTGACGCTGATTCGAGATTTTGTCCTGAAGAAATTGTTGACGCTGAATCATAACTACTTTATTCATCAGTAAGTATTCATCAATAAATATAATATACTTTATACTTTAAAGTAAGAAATGTTGTGTGTGTGTGTGTGTGTGTGTGTGTGTGTGTGTGTGTGTGTGTGTGTGTGTGTGTGTGTGTGTGTAGTAC